AAGCAGACCCGCGGGCGGGCCGTCCACTCCGCACTCCGGGGCTTCCATCCGCAGGTGGCGGCGTCGACTCCACCCGGAAGATATGGATCCCTCGGGCCTAGAGCCCCACCCTACCGGGCAGGGGTCTCACCCCGCGGGCCTAGATTTCGACTCTCCCGGCCAAAATTATTTCCCCACTAGCCACGAGTTCAACTCTCTCTACCAAGAGCTGGACTTGGACTCTCTTAACGGAGATCTTGCTTCTCAGCCCATGATAGGCGCCGTGGCAGAGCCCTCTGAGGGCCCCTATGAACCCCATCCGACTGCCGAGCCAGAGGATCTCACGGAGGCCGAGCAAACGGAGCTCAAATCCGAGCTCGCTGAATTGGAAGCTGAAATCGTAGCCCTCCGCCACGCACTGGCCGCCAAAGAAAGACGCTGCCTGGAGCTCAAGAGGAAGCTGGGCCTCAGGGCTTTGGTGGGGCTGAAGCAGAATCTGTCCAGGAGCTGGCACGAAGTTCAGGTCTCCAACGCCTACGTGAAACAAAAGACTTCGGCTGCGCTGTCCACCATGGGCTCTGCCATCTGCAGGAAGCTTGGGGACATGACAAAGTCAGCCACATTCAGATCCTTTGAAGGCCTGGTGGGGACAATCAAGTCCAGAGTTGCAGGTGGCAGAGAGTTTGGCAGTGACTTCCTTCCTTCTTCAGCGGGGTGTGGGGATGATCCACCCCCGGTTTGGAGGAGTAGAGATGATCCACCCCCAATTTCAGGGAGTGAGAATGACCCGGTTCCGGGGAGTGGAGATGATGCGGTTCCGGGGCGTGGAGATGATGCGGTTACGGGAACTGGAAATGACCTGCTTCCCTTTCTGGAGCAGGAATGAGCCCTGTGGTAACCCTGCGTGGCCACCGAACCAGTGCATGAACTCCCTGCCCTCATCACAACTGCAACACTGCCATCAAATCAAGCAGCCTAACTGCAACGGTAAACTTAATTCAGGAAATGGACAGAGTCTGGTTTTGAGAAAAGTAATGTCCATTTTTACACAGATATTTGATGCTGTTGAGATAGAAAATCCAATGTTTTGTACCTGGTTATTTTACACTAAAGTTTGTAGATGAAATGCATTACTATACTAGCCTTCCTGGGGTTGCATTTAAATGGACAAGACAGTGGCTCCAGAGGAGTCTAAGGCCAAAGCCCAAACTCTTTTTTGGAAAACTAGTCTCATCAAAGGGTAAAATAGGTTTCTGTTCAAAACTGGGAAAAGGTATAAAGTAAGCTGTAAGTCTATCCGCTCCCCATTCCTTCCTTCACTAAATCTCAAGGAAACTTGAAAGCGTCAACTGGTTTATAATGTTTATTTTAAAAAGATGATCAAGAAAACATGTTTTTCTCTAAGACCCTCAAAAGGGGGGAAATATTAGTAGATTGTTACATAAAACTTGATTTTTTAAAAGCTCCTAATTAAGCAAAGTAACTTTGGCTTCAGTGTAGGAGATTAACTACTTTGGACTCAAGCGGAAATTGTAACTTTTCTTTGCCTTATGCTTTGTTATCTTTTTATACAGTATAGCAAAATGAGGGTTTTAAAGTTTAACCCTGCGGCAGCATGTCTCTGCCACAGCAGCATACCACTTAAAAAGAAGAAAGTAGCTTCTCAGTTCTGCAGCAATTCCTAGTTACCAGCGCCAGCTGAGGGGACAGAGGGAAAACAGCATAGCCAAATTCAAGGAAGATAAACCCCTCTCTCAAGCAACATTTAAAACAGAATGCCCATCACCTGTAATGCTGACCATTATGCCTTTGAATGGACATAACTTATATACGTCACTGGTCACCTTGACTCCAGGTCTGTCCTTGTTTATAGCTAACCCCAACTGAAAGGAAACAGAATCTGATCCTCAGGGGATGTCAGGACAGTAGGAAACTGGTTTGCGTTTGTTTGAACTTCCTCATATTTGATTTTTACAGGAGCTGTAATGTTTTTTGTTTTTGTTTTCCTTTTCCATTTTCAAAATGCCAGGACCTGGCAGCTTCTTTCATTCCTCCAAGTCCACACTGCCTGAGGTAGAAGATTGTGTCTTAATGTCTTTCAGCAGGGGAACTAGGACATTTATTTGCATGGGTATATATTGATAATGTCTCACTGCCTAAAGGTAGCCCCTCTAGCCTAAGGAGATGATCCTGTTTTACTGATTCTTGAATGTTCCCCCTATATTCCTTTGGTTTTCCTATAAGCAAAACCAAATACCACTATAAATGCAAAAACACTTCGTAAACTGTAAAGTCACTAATGTATCCCAACCCTCCACAGATTTCTGAAGACAAAGTTTTGCTTGAATAAAAACAGGATGTTCAACTATTTTACATGTTTGTTTTTTAATTTGTTGTGTTTATCAACCAAAGTGGTTTTCTATGTTGAAGAACTGGAGACAAACTTATAGCATGCAGAAAGCCAAAATAGTTCAACAGGCAAAGGCTTTGGCCCCATATTACAGAAATCCTTGTGTTTGAGAAAAATGTTAGATGTCAAGGGCCAAACCCAGAACATATTCTATTTTATTTAATAATTCAAACGAATGTAGTAACAGTTTCTCCCAATAAATCCTCAACTCACTGAGAGCAGTTAAGAACATATCGATTTTTGTTCATCATTGTATTCCCATGCCTGGCTTAGGGTAGATGTTCAGTAAATAACTTGCTGAATTAATGAATCAATATCACATACTTCAGACATCAATCTTTGATCCAAGAGATTATCAACAACATGAACTGGGTGATAAAGTTCCTGAAGCTTTTAAAGCATATATACTTCCCTGTTCAAGACAATTTGAGACTCTACTCTGTGTCAGGCTCTGAAGGCACAGAAATTAGATATGCATGCTGTCTAGAAACAGATTTTCTAATGGTTACAATTCATTTCAGTAGGTGCTAAAGCAGAGGAAGTCTGTGAAGAAAGTGTTCACCTCTGCCTTGGTAGGTCAGAAAAGAATTCATAGAAACAGAAAATCTTACAGGACTAGTAGGAAATAGCCAGATAGATAAAAGTAGAACATTCCAGACAATAGCCAGAGGAACTACGTCAGGAAGGAATGTAATAGAATGTCATGTTTTAAGTAATATCAATAAGCCATTGTGGCTAGAGAGAAAGGGTAAGTGGTGAGAGGTGAGGAATAAGCGGGGGCAAGATCATAAATAGTCTTATATGCCAAATCAGACATTAGCATTAATCCTGTAGGAAACAGGGAGGAATCGAAGGTACTTAAATCAAATTTGTGTTTCTGATAGATCACTCTGGTCGCCATAGAAATAGATTCAGATGTATTTAAGAGGCAGAATCTCCAAAACTTAAGAAACAAGTGCATGGGCAAGACGAACGGATAAATCTGTGAGTTGATAACGATGTAGAATTGACAAGACTTGATACTAGCAATGCTGGAGCTGCACGTTCATTTTGAACTTTGGCTCTTTTACTGGATTCCAGCAGACCTGCATCAATAGCCATGGACACCAAATAAATGCCTCCGTGAGCATGTGGACTCTGAATTAAAGGTTTCCTCCAAATCGCCTTTCTTCTACTTGTTAGTATCAAGTCTAATAAAATTTTCTTCAAATTTTTACTCAAAAATCACCCATTTTAGCCACCCTATGTACAATTTTAACCACCATATCCCCATTTTTGACTTTAGCACTATACACCATGGATCATGTTTTGCTATTTCTCTTTCTCAGTGTCTGCCTCTTCAACTAGAAATGTAAACTTCATAGAGGTGGAGGGTTTTTGTCAGTTTTATTCACTATTATATCCCCAGCTTATAATGCAGTGTCTGGCACAAAGTAAGTGTTCAATAAATAAATGACATGAGGGAAAGAAGTCCAGGAACTGACTGGGTCCTCCTCATATCTCATCAAACTCCATAGGACAGGAAGGAGGCAGAGCTGGGCCAGTAAGTGAAACCTGGTTTGTACTTAAAATGAGGTCAGCGTGATGACAAATATCAACTTCAACAACAGATCAGAGTAGCCAGAGTCAGAAAGGCAAACTAGGTCCAAACCAAACAGGCATCTGAAGTCACTAAAAACTTAAGGGCATTTAGGCAGCCAACAACTAACTCTGCTGCATACCTGGTTGTTAAACCTTGTGGCTTTTACTTCTGCTTAGTTCACCTGCTCAGATATCTGTCTCCAGAAGGCTTTAAAGCCTCCTCACTCCTATTTTGGCACTCATGTCCTCAGTCAGGCAGGATTGGTGATTTTAGGAATGATACATGAGTCTACTTAGTGCCTTCCAACATGTCCTTCCCTCCCTACAGCTTGAAAGTCCTAGAAAAGGAAATGGTTATAGCACTCCCCCAGGCAGCACCAGGTAGTCCCTCCAGGCTCCCCTGGGAATCTCTTGTTTTGGCCTAGCTCCCCCCCACTGTCTATCTCAGTGCCTGCTACTAGGATTTCACCTCTCTCCCTGGATACTTTTGATGTCATCATAGTTGTGGATGCTGTCTCTGGAATTACTTTCAGCATTTACTCAGAAATCTCTGAGCACCTGAACCCAGCACCTGAGGCAGCATTTACTCAGAAATCTCTGAGCACCTGAACCCAGCACCTGAGGATCCTGCCCCTATAGGAGTTGTTTAGAGCAAAGGAATAGAGAGAAACTGGAACACACCATTTCTCACAGAAATCTCCCCCTGCTCACAGCTTCTCCTCAACACTAGGGGGTGCTACTCACACAGTCACCATACCCTGTTTTGTGCAACACAAACCCCACAGCCTTGCTCTTTACCCCTAAACCCTCACCAGCCACATCTCTTGATGAAGTGTTTATCATTAAAGCCTAAATCTATGATTCCTCCTGAAATATGGGTAAATCTCGCACTAGTTTCTTAAGTAGAAAAAGACCATTAACTAGGATTTTGACCTTAAGCTGTACAATCAACCTGCAATACTGAGAAGGAAGTCAGAGGACTTTTGTTGTTGTTAATTCAGAGTATCTAACAAAGTCCATATATTTGCTTCAGGACCAGGCTACTTGTTCTGATACAAACTGAGAAGAAAGCCTGGCTGGTGTGGCTCAGAGGTTGAGCATCAACCTATAATCCAGGAGATCGTGGTTCAATTCCCAGTCAGGGCACAAGCCCGGGTTTCGAGCTCTATTCCAGTAGAGGGCATGAAGGAGGCAGCCAATCAATGACTTTCATCATTGATGTTTCTCTCTCTCTCCCTCTCCCTTCCTCTCTCTGAAATCAATAAAATCTTTTTTTTTTTAAATGGCCTTGTTGCCCGGCCGGGCGTGGCTCAGCAGGTGAGCGTCGACCTAGGATCCAGGCGATCGGGGTTCGATTCCCAGTAGGGCACATGCCCAGGTCGTGGGCTCGATTAATGACTCTCTCATCATGGATGTTTCTGTCTGTCTCTTTCTCCCTTTCCTTTCCTTTCCTCTCTCTGAAATCAATAAAGATATATTTAAAAAAATTTTTTTAAAAATAAAATGGCCTTGTTGCCCTGGCCTTAAAAAAAAATTAAAGAGAGAAATCCTTCTCTGAAGAAAGAGATTGTTTGTGGCAGTGGAAGGATGAAGGAAGAAGATAAAGTATTAGGGTCAGTGGATGAAATGAAAGGAAGTGTACCAGGAGCTGCTCTGCAGCTGAGCAAGAAAGAATTCTCAAATTCTCCTAGACCCCAAACTCTGAAAGCCTCCAGCTCCACACCTCATTACCCTCCTCCCAATCATCTCATAGGGGGATTCCCTGCCCTAACTGACAGAGGCTTACAAGTGGGGATAGTGGAGAAGGAAAGAGTCCCCCACTCCTGGCATCTTTAGTTGTACTCCTGACCACACCTCCCTGTAAAAATACTGTTTATTGAGTGACCAAGTGCAGT